CTGTTATTTAAAACAAGGAGAATTAGCTTTGGAAAATGAATTGAACAATTGCCCCTATTTTTTATGGTTTGAAAGAGTTGACCTAAAAGATGACGAGTTCTCCCTGATCATTTGGTAGAAGTGGCCTCCAAACCTGCCCTGTCCTGGAACATTCGAGGGGGGCTTGAGCTTAAATACAGTTTCAGTTTCTATTGTACAACAAAGGTTTTCCATTTTTTCTATGGATCCATTTGGCCATTTTGTTAATGGTCCATGTTAGCTAGGATATCAAATGCAATGGCAAGATATTTATGATAAAAGCTTTGTATTCCAGAATGTCTCAAACATGCAAACAGTAAGGAATATTATCACACACCCATCTACCTGACACCCAGTGTCACCAGTCTTCTATACATTTTCTTTTTTTTTTAATTTCTTTTTTTTTTGTGAGGAAGACCAGCCCTGAGCTAACATCCATGCTAATCTTCCTCTTTTTGCTAAGGAAGACCGGCTTTGAGCTATCATTTATTGCCAATCCTCCTCCTTTTGTTTCCCCCAAAGCCCCAGTAGATAGTTGTATGTCATAGTTGCACGTCCTTCTAGTTGCTGTATGTGGGACGTGGCCTCAGCATGGCCGGAGAAGCAGTGCGTCAGTGCACTCCCGGGATCCGAACCCGGGCTGCCAGTAGCGGAGCACGTGCACTTAACTGCTAAGCCATAGGGCCAGCCCCCTTCTATACATTTTCCTTCCCAATTCTCGGAGGTCATTGACACGCTGAGGCTTTTTATTTAGGTCTTTCAAGGGACATTGCAAGCCTGCAGATTGCTAGGGGTCACGCTGGGAGAAGGCAGAGCCAGGCTGACTAACTTTTGAGGGTCTTACCCAGAGCATCGGAGGCAGCTTCCAGCACATTATGCGCACTTAATCCTGTCCTTGGGGACATCATCACTCTTGTGGCTGCTTTCTAGGGGGAAATGCAGGAAAAGTAATTGGAAACATCATAGCAAGAGGAGGTTGAGGGTTGCCAATCAGGAACTCGATGTGTTTCACACCTTGAAAGAGCTTGTGTGAGCAGAATGGTTTCAAAATGAGCAGGTGAGGGCAGATCCTCCAGTTCCATGCTGTGCTGTGGGGAAGAATTGGGAATGTGGCTCTGGGGCTACAAGGAACCGTGCAGCTGGGAGGCCAGGGGGCAGGCCCGAGGTGAGAGGTTCCCTTCGGCATTCAGGGCGTCCATCCACCAGGAGGACCCTCCCTCGCAGACCTTTGGGTGTGGGGTTCGGAGCAGGAGGTGGGCCTGGAGGAGGTCCTGATGCCTCCCCCAGGGCCAACTCCCACAGCCCAATGCCTTCTCCCTGCCCCAGCCCAGGAGCCCTGGCCGTCAGCCCGCCCAGGTCTAGAACAAGTTATAGCATGTTTGCACGGTTCTGACATGTCAGATGGACAGTCCTCAATAGCAGATTTTCAGCGGGAAAGAAAAGCTACCTCAATCAATGTACAGAGCTATCAGAAGAAATAGACTGGTTCAGAATCTTCACCACATGGAGGGAAGGTACATCTCAGACACACAGTGGCAAGAGCTACATCTACTGACCACCTAATTTGGGCCAGGCCTCTTACATACAGGTCACATCATGCATAAAGTCACACCAATGCCTTGAGCTGGTACTAGTGCTATGCCCTTTCTACAGATCAAGAAATTGAAGCACAGAGCATTTACAGGATTGGCTCTGCTTAGGAGCGGCGGAACTCCTATTCAAGCTGAGGTTCGTATTGGTGCAAAGCCCTCTCCCTGCACCGGCCTGGGCTGTGTCCCCCACAATCAAGGGGCTTCCAGCAGTCTTCCGTGGTGACCTCATGCGTGACGCCTCATGCCACATAATTGAGGGACCGCAGGGATGCCAAGCAGTGGTGGCAAGGAGAGCCTGATGCTGGACCCTGCCTACGTGGCCTCTCCCAGCCTCATCGGGTCACCATCTCTCCTGACATGGGGACAGACGGGGGGCCTCGGAGGAGAGGTGGGGTCTAGGATGGACAGCGTGGGGATGGAGAAGGTTCCACCTGGATGTGCGTGTTGGAGGGGCGGGGCTCTGAAGCCTGCTCGTATGTTCCAGCATGGGCCCTACTCTCCCAGTCACCTACCCAGTCTGCTCCCCTTCTCTCCCAGCTCGCTTAGGGCTCAGCGTTCTCCTGCAGGCTCACTCCCATGGGCAGGCTGAACGTCAGGCACACGGCAGGGCAGCAGTTCAAAGCACAGCATCCACGGGGCCGGAGGCTCTCATGCATGCACACGGGGGTAAATGTCTGTGGGGCCCTTTGACCAGGCCCTCCGTCTGAGTGCTGGGCAAATGTGGCTTTCCCCCTGATGCTGTCTCGTGGATGGCCCTTGGCATCACATCCTGCGTCCTGCCACCATCCCAGCCATATCCCTATGCCCAGCCCCAGCTCAGGGACCGAGAACAGGCAGAGACCTGGAACCCCGTGCTTGCTCATGAAGGGCCCTGGGTGAGCTGCCAGCGATACTGGCCACAGAGGAGGGCAGCTGAGAGCCAGGGAGGAGGTCAGCCCCTTGCCAAGGAGGCTGGAGTTCTGAGCAGGCTTTAGCTGTGGCTGGAGAATGGGGGCTTCTCAGAGAGGCAGGACCATGGCTGAGTCCCCCCACACCAGCCCCTCAGGTGGCAGGCTCAGGGCATCTGGAGAATGTCAGAACCTTCCTCCTGATGGGCAGGGGAACTCCTGTGAGCTCTGCCCCGCCCTATTCAGGACTGGCTGGGGTCCTGGGGGTTGGGTGCCCGCACAGAGGCTGCTGCAGAGGATGCTGCACCCTGGAAATGCCTCCCTGATGCACCCTGTGGGGTACTTTGGGCATCCCGGCTGCTGCAGCCCTGCAGTCCATAGCTGCCCTGGGTGAGCACTGTCCCACACCAGTCAGTTCCGTCCAAGAACGGGCATGCAGTGTCACTGCTTCCATCCTGGAGTGCCCCGCAGGGGTCTGGTCCTGGGACTTGTCAGGATGGTCCTGGTCGCATTTCATGATGTGGTCCAGTGCTCCAGCTCACCTCCAGACGCATCTGCTCCCACGTGCCTCCCCTGGCCAGCCCAGGGCGGTTCAGATGGGATCTGGCGGCTGCTCCTCCTTCCATCTCTCCTGGCACAGCTGACCCTCTTCACAGCCTGCCTCCTGGGACCCCAAAGCCCTCTCCTGCCTGGCTCCTTTCCAAATCTGCCTTTGAGTCTGGGGGTGTCTGGGGCCTGGGGGAGCCTCCTGGTGACCACCCCTGCCATCTGCTGGAGGCTTTCGTCTGCTCAAACTCTCTGTTGGGGACACCAAGGTCCTAGCTGGCTCTGTGGGTGGCAGAGAAGACTCTCCTTCCCCCACTCTGTCTCGGCCTCAGAAAGGAAAACCTCAGTCACCCTGACCAGGCCATCAGTTTAATCAAACCTTTGGCATTATACAGGGAACTGCTTGAAAATAACTCATCATCATAGCAATTTGTCACACATTCGCATGGCAATGATTATTATTTACCAGCCACGAGGAGACTTGCCAAAAAGGCTACATCACCTCGTGCCAGCTCTCCCTGAATGACAACTGTGCAGAAAGGGGATTCTTATCTGGGAACCTCCAAATACAGATATATACACAAAATCATTGGCACTGGGGACTGAGAACTTGTCAGTGGGGAGACAAGCAGGGCAAAGCCCCACCCTATGCAGACCCAGGAGGCCAGGTTGGGGAGAGAGTGGGCAGAGCGGCCAGCAGGGGTGATGGGGGTGCCAGGCTGAGCCCCAGGAGGAGGACACCCCCAATCCCTACAGGGCCATTGGGCAGCTGGCCTCCTACAAGAGACGCATCACAGTCCTGAGGGGACTGAGGGGTGTAGCAGAGGGGCCTAAGGGTGCAGGTGGCATGGAGGAATTCCTGCAGCCAGCTTCCTGTGGGGCGGCTCCTCTTTTGAACACCTCCACCCCTGCCCAGGGCCTCGAAGGCCAGAATCTGACATCTCACCTCTAAGGGTCCAACGTGCGTGGCTTAGGTCCCTGGCTGAGGAAACAGCGTGGTCTGTGTCCCATGTTGTCACGGCTTGGGAATTAATCCACGGCTCCTGTGGTGCCTTCTATAGGAACAGCTCTGACAAACGATGCATCCGCTCCTATCGGTGGCAAAGGGTCCTCACAAGACCCTTCCTAAGTACGAGAGGACTGGTAGTGGGGTGTCCCCGTCAGTCCAGGGAGGAGAGGAAGACGAGATGTGGAGGAGCACTTGACCTCTCTCCAATGTCGACTAACATAGTCACTTCTAGTATGATTTTGACCCCAGCTCCTACCACTCTCTCCTCTGGAAATTTTTGGTTTCCATCACATCTCAGAGAATTTGCAGCTCGATTGGAAACTGAACAGAAACTCCGCCCAAATTGCAGCTCTGCATAGTTCCCTCCTTGAGGCTATATTGTTCAATTTCAGTGTGGGGTCTTCCCCAGCAAGGCGCATCTAACTCAAGGCTCCCAGAATTCCCATCAAAGACCACTCCCTTTCCTCTTTTGCCACCTCTCTCTTCCATGCAAACCCCCTATTTTCATTCATGTAACCCCACTAAAATCCAGCATTGCTTACAAATGACCAAAATAAACTCCAGGGAGCTGAAATCAACGGTCATTTCAAAGGAGTCAGTTCTGGATTTCCCAGGCCAGGGAGGAGGGCGCCTGTTCAGTGACTTCCAGGCATCACTTCAAGGAGCAATAACCTTATTTCTCAGGAAATCCTTGCAGATGATGGGTATTAAACACCTTGTTCCTCACTGTTGTTCGACTGCAATGTGACAAGGTAGCAAAACTCTTCCTCTTGGACTGGATAAGTACAAATTCATATGTAATGAATCTCATTCACAAACTTAGATGTTAATTAAACCTTCTGTTAAAGGGAACTCATTTGAAAGATTCGTAAGGAAACCAAGATCCATCTCCAAGATCCATCATAGAGAACCGGAACCCAAAGATGCTATCCACCGTGTGCCCCCACTTCAACCTGGCCCTCCACTACTTAGGATGCTGACTGCTCTCTCTTCAAACACACAGTGAAGAAGCAGACTCACTTCATGCCCCGCAGGAGAAGCTGCTGGACGTGGGCCTGGACTGTGCCTGGCTGCATCTCTGGCTCAGGCCCCCTCTTCCTCATCCCTCACAGCCTCTTCGGACAGGTGGAGGAAGGAACCTGGATCCCTGCTATGGACCCTGAGCAAATACTCCAGGACTTTCATCTTGCTGGTTTCAGCGTGGGCTCTGAGACCCCACAGGAACTCGTAGCGTGCAGGATCGCTGTCGGGCACCTGCCGGTACTCCATGTACTGTTCCTGCACCCAAACTTTGGTGAGGAGCTCCCTGGGCTCCCCGTAGATGAAGTGTTCCGTCCTGGCACACACCCCCATGACACTCAGCGCTTCCCAGACATCCTCCTCAGGGGCGCAGTCGCCCTCCAGGAGGATCACGCCCAGGAGCATCACCAGGAGGCCGGTCCTGGGCATGCTCTGCTCACCGCTCAGCATCCCTTCATAGGTGAGGCCCAGGGTGGTGACCAGGACATAGGAGTGGTCGCTGGGGTCCACTTCCTTCACGTCAATGCCAAAGACCAGCTGCATGCACTCAGAGGCTTGGCTGAAGATCACAGGGAAGTGGTCCTGGTAATCTCTGATGACCAGATTCAGCATTTCCGCCTTTGTGGTAGGCTCCTTGGTGCGATAATCGAGGAGCAGGAACGCCACCAGGTCAGCCATCTTCAAATGTAGTGCTTCTTGGAGTGAGGACTTGGCGTCTTCCAGGTCCTCCCAGGTGCTTGGCCCCTCGTCACCTTGGCTGCTGGAGCCATCACCTTCAGATTGGCTCCATGGAGCAGCTGCCATGGCAGCGGGGGAGCGCCAGGCACTCTGAGGGCTCTGGGGAGGACTCGGGTTCACACCAACAGCCACCTCCTCCAGGGTGCCCAGGAACAGGACAGAGGGGGACGAGGAGAGGGAGGAGGAGGGGGATGTGGCCTCTTCCTCCTCAGCCCCAGAAAGCTGCGCATCCACCAGGCCCTGGGCCTATCTTGGGTCCTGACGGTCTTCCACATGCCTGCAGAGCTCACTCATCTGACCTAGAGGCATGATGACGCGTGTCTGGCAGCTGGCAGGAGTGTGCGCAGGAGGTGACCGGTGGGGACCCACGGGCCTGGGGGAGACAGGGAGTGTGATCGGCCTCGGCTAAAGAACACACCCTTGGTGTCTCTGACAAAGGTGACTTACAGGTCTTCTCTTTAGGGGCGCCCTAGGCTTCAAAGGGCTCTGTCCTCCTGGGCGGCCTGTGCCCTAAGAACCTGAAGGAGGAAGTGAGATGGCTCTTCAAGGTGTACCCAGCACAGCCGGAAGTTCTGGGGATGATGGTAGAGTGGTGTGGGCTCGGGTGCTGCGGGATCTCCTCAGCTATGGCATGGGGGAGCCCCTGGGTACACGTTCAGGGTGTGTACCTCACCTTGACTCCTGGCGCTGCCTGGGCCTCCTTTGCTCTATGACTGGAGGACACGAGCCTCAGACAAAGGCCTTCACCTGTGGGTTCCTGGAGCCCATGTAAGAGGAAACGAGGGGGCACCTCAGGGTGCAGACTGCAAGCAGAGCCCTGGGCCCCCAGTGCTGACAGGAGGGGCAGGCTGGAGTCTGTGAGGTCCCCACTGTTCTGGGATGGGTGGTCCTCTCCATGCACACCCCGGCTCCTCACCTTTCCCCTGGCAGCCCCTGGGCCCCACCCCACTGCTGCCCTGAGGCAAAACTCTCAGAACAAGTCCTCACACCCCTGAGACTGAACAGAAGGAAGTGAGGGGGCCCCACATCAGGGCACACCTGCCCAGGGGCTAACAGGAGGCACCAAGGGACAATAAGGGGTGGCCAAACTCTGTGGGTTCCATGTGTCCTGGGATGGGTGGTCTGCTCAGTCTTCACCTTGACACCCTCAGGGCCTGGGACAACTCCCTCTGTTGACCTGAGGCCACCCACCTTAGGCAAAGGCCTCGTCTCCCGAAGACGCGGGAAGAGGAAGTGAGGGAGAATCAATCCACACCCCGATCCCGGGTCTCCCCATGGCAGACAGAAGGGTAAGGCAGGCCTGGGCTCCATGCGTCCTGGTGACTGTGTGCGTGGGGGTCTCCTCAGTCCTAACCGTGACCCCTGCCAGGGCCTGGGATCTTGCATCAGCTGACCTGAGTCCAGAGCCTCAGACCAAGGCCATCACCTTCCCGAGACCACTGGTCTGGAAGTGAGGAGGGGCTCAGCCAGACAGGCCCTGCTGGGGGGTTTCCAGAGCTGACAGTAGGGGCAGGCCAGATTTCTGAGGGGCCCCCTCTTTGTCCTGGGGAGTGGGGTACACTCACTGCTCCCTCGGGGTCCTCACCTTGACTCTTGGTGAGAACTGGGACTCCTCTCTCAGCTGACCAGATGTGCTTCCTCAGATGACCAGACGTTGTCCTCTCAGACCAAGGTCTTCACCTGCCTGAGGGTTCTGAAAGAAACGGGAGGAGGCACCACATCCACGCCCACCCCTCACCCCCCACATCCCCCGCCAGGATCACAAAAGGCTGCCAGAGGGGACCAGCCCTTCTGTCCTGGGTGGGGGTTCCCTCAGACATCCTGTAGGTTTTCCATCTTTTCTCCTGCCAGGGCCTGCCCTTCTTCCCGGCCCCCCACCTGGATAGCTGACATCTCCCTCTGAACAAGACCTCTCCTCCCTGAGGACTCCCCACCTTCCCGCCCATGGTAGAAGTGAGCATGCCATTGAGGACCACTGCCGACTCTTCCTTCCAGGGCTGAGAACAGGGGACAGCAGGACTCTGTGCCAGCCTTTCTTTTCTGAGGTGAGGGGGGTACGTTAAGTCCTCATGAAGGGTCCTCACCTTGACACCCGATAGAACCTGGGACTCCTCCCTCTGCTGACCTGATGTCCCCACTCAGACCAAGGCCTCACCTCCCTGAGATGCCCCATTCCCAACCACATGGCTGAAGTGAGAGCAGGGTACATCCAGCCATCCTTGCCTGGGGCCTCCTGGAGCTGAGAACAGGGGAAGCTGGCCTCTGTAAGGTCCCTTCTCTACTGGGGTGGGGGGAACCTCCACGCCCTCTGTTCCTCCCAAAGGCTCTCGTCTTGAGTCCTGGCAGATCCTGGGACTCCTTCCTCTGCTGACCAGATGTGGCTGCCTCTGCTCACCTGACACCGCCCCTCAGAACAAAGCCTCACCATTCAGAGAGCCCGAGGCAGAGGCGAGTGAGGATGCACCACCTGCGGCCACCCCTGCCTGGAGTCTGCCGGGGTGACGTGGACAGGGCCGATTTCAGTGAGGTCCTCCTCTGGCTGTGGAGCGAGTCCCCTCAGTGTCCTCAAGGTATTCATACTTACTCCTGGCCAGGCCTGGAACCATCCCTTCTGCTAACCTGAGGATGCATCCTGCAGGCCAAGGCCACCATCCCGCTGAGACCCCGAGGAGGAAGTGGACAGGCCACTTTCCTGACATCCTGCCTGGCCTCCAGGGACTGACCATGAGTCAGATTTCTGTTGGGGTCGCCTATGTCTAGGCTGAGGGTCTGCTTAGTCCTCCCTGGGGGTCTAGGGACTCCACCCTCTGCTGACCTGAAGCCACATTCCTCACCTCCCGAAGACCCCCGAGGCAGAAGGCAGCAAACGCCTCCTCGGGTCATCCTGCCCTGGGGCCTCCCAGACCAGCACAGGGCCACAGGATCCCTGTCTGTCCTGGGGTCCAGAGTCCCTCAGGCCTCCCTCAGCGTCTCCCCTTGACTTCCAGCAGGCCCTGGGCTCTCCCCTTTGTCCCCCTCAGGCCCTGCTCCCTGGACCAAGTCCCCGGTCTCTCTCAGTCCCGGATGCGGAAGTCGGAAACGCGGCCTGTGCTCATGGCGCCCTGGCGCCTCCCGGGGCTGCCGGCAGGGCCGTGTTTCTGTGGGGCCCCCTCTGTCCTCCCTCAGGGTCCTCCCCTTGAGCCCTGGCAGGTCCTGGGATCCTCCCTCTGTGGATCCGAGGCCCTCACTGGCCGGAGAGCCCTGGGGGAAGTCTGTGGAGGTCACCTCAGGCCACTAAGCACGGGGACGCCCAGGGCTGATGGCAGGGGCCGACAGGGATTGCCTGGGGCTCCTCGGCCCTCCCTCTGCTCGTCTCCTGAGCTCCCAGCAGGGCCTGGGCCCCGGCCTCTGCCCCCTGAGGCCGCTCCCCGCAGACCCAGGACTCCCCAGCAGGCTCCTCTGAGGACGAGGTGGGGGCCGGGGGGGCTCCGCCTGACCACCCTGCCCCCTCCCCGTCCCCCAGGGTCCCTCAGGGCTGATGGCAGGGGCAGACGTGGACGCCGTGGCGCCCGGAGTCCTCCCTCCCGAGGCTACCTGGACGCCTGGCCGGGCCTGGGCTCCTTCCCTCTGCCGCCCCGGATCCGGCCTGCCACCGCGAGGCCCTCGGCTCCCTCAGACCTCGGAGGCGGAAGCCAGTGGACGTCACATCCGGACGCCATGGCCCGGGGTCTTCCGGGGCTGACGGCAGGGGTGAGAGTGGTCTGGACGTTCCCTCGGCCCCGCCCTCCTCTCCTCACCCTACTCTGCCCGGCCTGGGCCTCTAGCCCTCTGCCCGCCTCAGGCTGCACCCCTCACCCTCAGCTCTGACTCCCCTGGTTGTCTGAGGATGGGGACGTGGGGGAGCGCTCCGCTGACAGCCCTGCCGGGGGTCCCCCAGAACGCACAGCAGGGGCGCCGGGGGGTTCTGTGGGACCCTGTGTTCTGGGGCCGGGGGTGCTCTTCATCCTCCCTCAGGAGGGTCCTCGTCCACCCTGGCCGAGAAGGGCTGCCGTCCCAGGGGAGGTGCTGGGTGGGGGCTGCGGTGCCCAGGGCTGTGGGGGAGGTCAGAGAAGAAGCCCCCTTCCCGTAGGGTCTCACCAGCCAGGCCAACACCGCGAACCGTTCCTTTTCTGGGTTTCATTTGTCCCGAAGAGGCTGAGCAGCTGCAGGGTCTTCGGGTTGCTCCTCTGGGTCTACGGTGACCTCGTGTTGCCTGGTTGAGTGCAGGGATTTTCACTTTTTAATCTTCCTTTCTAGTAAGAAATACGTTGTACGTCTCTGCCCGCTGTGGGTGCCCTGTATCTATAACACATATGTAGCTTATGTGTGTGTATAGACACGTATGTGTCCTTACCACGTGAATATGCGGATAAACGTGTATACATTCATGTATGTTTCTATTAGTCTTTATAGATACATGTAGACTATATATATGTGTGTATACTTATTTTATGAAAGAATACCTTCTCTTTCTCTATATGATTCGCTGTGATAACTCCCTATGCTGTTTCTAGTCTATTCTCTATATTCTATTAAAATGAGAATCTTTTGAAAGGCCAACCCTCACCCACCAAGATGGTTTCAGGTGGTTATTAGCCCAGACTGAGGAGTCAAATGCGTCAATCGAACTGTCTTTCCTGCTGTCCTGGTTTTGCCCCAGGGCCGCTGGCATGTGTGGTCTGAGGGCCTGCTTCAGATGTGTGCAGTGAAGGAGGAGCAGAAGTTTGAAACCTTTCCTCCTTCCCATCCTGTCATCTGCATCTATGTAGCATACCAACCCTCCCATTTGGCTGCCACTGCCCATGCCCCCACCCCAAACACAAATACTGGGCTCACCCCAGTCTTCAGTCTCCCCCAGGGCTTTCTCCTGTTTTGTTGCTTAGATATTGTTGTTCATAGTGTGTGTTGTTTTTGAAACCTGTATTTTTTTTAGAGCCTCTTAGGTGCCCAGAAAAATAAGGAGAAAGTTACAGAGATTTTCCACTTACCCCCTGCCCCCACACATGCCTAGCCTTCCCTATTAACAACATCCCCCACCAGAGTGGGACATTTGTTATAGTTGATCATCCTACATTGACACCTCGTATCTCCCAATGTCCATTGTTTACATTAAGGTTCACACTTGTGGTTGTACATTCTATGGGTTTGGACAAATGTATAATGACATGTGTCCATTGTTCAAGTGTCATCCGGAGGAGTTTCACTGCCCTAAAAATCCCCTGTGCTCTGCCTATGGCCCCCTCCCCTCACAACCCCT